CTTACGCGCGCCTGTGATACACGCGCCCACAACTAAGCCGACTGTTGGTTCCTCGAAGCGATCGACCTGTCGAGGTCGATCAGTTTGCTCGATCATGCGTCTGGTCGATGCGTCTGGTCAATTATCTGAATATTCGGTCTTCCCACCCTTTTGGCTTGGCTTCCCCTCAGTTTAGCCTTCTTGATCGGCCAAGTAGGCCGGTTTATCCTTGAGTATATAATATCCCATATCATATTCCAAGAGCCAGAAGGAGCATGAAGAGCATCTGAGGGTTATTCTTGAGACCCTTAGACATGAATTCTGGCTCCAGCGAGTAGCCTTTCTTGGTCATGTTATCACTCAGGCAGGTATTGAGGTTGATCCATCAAAGATTGTCGCTGTTCAGAACTGGTCAACGCCGAAGAATCCCAGTGAGGTTCGTAGTTTCCTCGGTTTGGCAGGTTATTATCGCAGATTTATTGAGGGATTTTCGAAGATCGCCCTCCCTTTATCCCAGTTGACAAGGAAGTCTGTAAAGTTTGAGTGGATAGTTCGATGTGAATCAAGCTTTCAGGAGCTCAGAAAGAGGCTTACAACAACACCGGTGTTGACGATTCCATATTCTTCTCAGAGTTTCACCATCTTTAGTGATGCTTCAAGACAAAGTTTGGGATGTCTACTTATGCAGGATGTGTTGGGACATATGAGGATCTCGATATGCACAAATCACGGACAAACATTCAACATGAACCTATGCGCAGCAGATCTAAAGGTTTGATTAAGAAAACTTACTGCTTAAAATTTATGTAGATCTGGCTGGCCCGAACAGTTGACCGCAACTCAAATCTTCTCGGAATCGAACAAACTTGACCAATCCAGAAAGCTGTCGTCACGGCGAAGTCAACGGCGTCGACCAATCGGAAAACGGAGGTCTCACGCGCTCTCACGCGCGCGATTGAGCTTCAGCAACTGGTACCTTCCGTCGGTGCATGCGGCAGCGGCTGGCAGCGATCTCGACGGCGATCTCTTCGTCTCGTCGTCCTGGTCGTCGTGGTATGGTCACTTGTTGGTTTTGGTCTCCATTTTGGATGTATGATAGATCTGATTGGAATCCCGTATATACCTTACGATCTTCTACTGTATTCTCAAACAGCTATCTAGATCTTGTATTAGTGGAGCACAAGAAATAGAACTACTCCTTGGAAGAGAGAGAGAGAGGGGCGGACGCAATTCCAAGTTGTTGGGATTGTTCTTCTTATCTTCCAAGAGCCTACTGCTGTATATATAGAGCTACAGTAGGGACCCTAAGGAGAATAGGATAAGGGCTTCTAATATATTAATACTGTGGAGCAACCCCACAATTAATATATTAATAATATTAAAGTCCACCACAATAATATTATTGCACTCCCCTCACCTATCCGAAATTACATTTGAGACTCCTTATTATAATTATCCGATTTACCTCCCCATGTTTAAGATATAATGTCCATTAATTAATTCGATCCCTAATAATCAAGAATTAAATAATATATTATATTACTGAAGCTAGCGCTCGCTCATAGCATTCATATTATGCCGGAACAAATCCACCTGCAGGGTTTAGCATAATATTCCTTCATGAACTCACTTCGGGGACATCATCATACTAACGCACATGGTGACCGTAAATATCCTAATAGCACATCGAACACATAATGTCATTACCCAATTAATTAAGTATGTCGACCCGGCTTGGATCTCACCCAAAGAATCAAAGCAACAACAATTATGTGCACATGTCTATTTAATATCTTACGGGTTAAGAGCACACAATAATTAACTGAGGCCTAGTTCGTTTACGACGATTAGTATAAAACGAACATCCCTCTTTGGGATCCTGTTCAATACATAAATGTACTAGTGCAACTAATCGGTCAAGAAAAACCGTACGTGTAACACCCCGAAATAATATTATATTAATAGCTCGACTTATTTATCGGTATTAGTATTATTTTAATTATGCAGAGTATTATTAATATTAATTGCATTATTTATTTATTTAAGCCCAAGTAGTATATTAAGATCAAGCCCAAGTCATTAAAATCGAGCCCATTATTAGGCCCGATTTTTTGAGCCCAACACCCAACAAAACCCTAAGCTCCCTACTCCTATAAATAGATGTTTCATGTTCCCCAACATCAAACACCAAACCCTAGCCCCCATTCACTATTCATCTCTATCATCATTTCAAGATCTCCATCTCCATCTTCAAAGACATCAAAGAAAAACTTCATTCTTTTCAAGATCTTGTACAAATAAACACAAAATGTCCTAGCCTATACCAAGATCTAGCTTCAAAGTCCAAGATTCACCTTCAACCACCAAAGAAAACAAGCTTTCTTCCTTCAACCTCCATGGCTTGACCTCTATTCCGGCGAGCTCCCATTTTTCCGGCCAAAGCCGCGCCGGCGACGAGCGGCCAGCACCACCACGACCTCAGCCCGAGCTCACCCTCCTCGTGTCCAGCCCCATTTTTGCAGCTCTCGGATCCTCACCGTCGCAGGCCCGTCCAGCCCGCTCGTACAGAACAGCCACGGTCGGGAGCCACAACCGAGCGCCTTTTCAGACCCGATATTTTCCTCTTTATCCCGAATCAAGGTATTGGCCAAGCTCTTTCTTCTCTGGCCGTGAGTGTTCATTAAGAAGAAAAAATAAAATAAAATTATGTTATAAGAATTTATTGAAGATTTAAGAAAGAGAAGAAGATAGATGAAATAGATTTTCATGCTTTTGTGATATCCTTGAGTGTAATAAGAAATGAATGTGATTGTTGGTTTAAAGATATTGTAGTGGTCTGATAGTATGTT